ATTCATCAAAAGGATCATACATCATGATCAAGTGGGATTCATACCAGGGACACAGGGATGGTTCAACATCCGCAAATCAATCAACCAGATACACCACATCAACAAACTGAGGAACGAAAACCACATGATCATCTCAATAGATGCAGAGAAAGCATTTGACAAGATCCAACAGCCATTTATGATAAAAACTCTGAACAAAATGGGGATAGAAGGAAACTACCTCAACATAATAAAGGCCGTATATGACAAACTCACAGCCAACATCATACTCAACAGGCAAAAACTGACTGCCATCCCCCTGAAAACGGGAACAAGACAAGGATGCCCTCTATCACCACTCTTATTTAACATAGTACTGGAGGTCCTGGCCGGAGCAATCAGGCAAGAAAAAGGAATAAAAGGAATCCAAATAGGGAGGGAAGAAGTGAAACTCTTGCTGTTTGCAGACGACATGATCTTATATATAGAAAACCCCAAAGAATCCATTGGAAAACTGTTAGAAGTAATCAACAACTACAGCAAAGTTACAGGGTATAAAATCAATTTGCATAAATCAGTAGCATTTCTATATTCTAATAACGAACTAACAGAAAAAGAACTCAAGAACACAATACCATTCACAATCGCTACAAAAAGAATAAAACACCTCGGGGTAAATTTAACTAAGGAAGTGAAGGACCTATATAATGAAAATTACAAGGCCTTTCTGAGAGAATTGGATGACGACATAAGGAGATGGAAAGACATTCCATGTACATGGATTGGAAGAATAAACAGAGTTAAAATGTCCATTCTACCTAAAGCAATCTACAGATTCAATGCTATCCTAATCAGAATCCCAATGACATTCTTTACAGAATTAGAACAAAGAATCCTAAAATTTATACGGGGCAACAAAAGACCCCGAATTGCTAAAGCAATCCTGAGAAAAAAGAACAAAACAGGAGGCATCACAATCCCTGACTTCAAAACATACTACAAAGCTACAGTAATCAACACAGCACGGTACTGGTACAAAAACAGGTGCACAGATCAATGGAACAGAATTGAAAGCCCAGAAATAAAACCACATATCTATGGACAGCTTATCTTCGACATAGGAGCTGAGGGCATACAAATGGAGAAAAGAAAGTCTTTTCAACAAATGGTGCTGGGAAAACTGGAAAACCACATGTAAAAGAATGAAAATTGACCATTCTTTTTCACCATTCACCAAAATAAACTCAAAATGGATCAAAGACCTAAAGGTGAGACCTGAAACCATAAGCCTTCTAGAAGAAAACGTAGGCAGTACACTCTTTGACATCAGTATTAAAAGGATCTTCTCGGACACCATGCCTTCTCAGAGAAGGGAAACAATAGAAAGAATAAACAAATGGGACTTCATCAGACTAAAGAGCTTCTTCAAGGCAAATGAAAACAGGATTGAAACAAAAAAACAACCCACTAACTGGGAAAATATATTTGCAAGTCATATATCTGACAAAGGCTTAATATCCATAATATATAAAGAACTCTCACAACTCAACAACAAAAAATCAAACAATCCGATCAAAAAATGGCCTGGAGACATGAACAGACATTTCTCCAAAGAAGATATACTGATGGCCAATAGGCACATGAAAAGATGCTCATTATCGCTGATCATCAGGGAAATGCAAATCAAAACTACACTAAGATATCACCTTACACCCATTAGAATGACAAAAATATCTAACTCTAATAGTAACAAATGTTGGAGAGGTTGTGGAGAGAAAGGAACCCTCATCCACTGCTGGTGGGAATGCAAACTGGTGCAGCCACTATGGAAAACAGTATGGAGATTCCTCAAAAAATTAAAAATAGAGCTACCATACCATCCAGCCATTCCACTACTGGGTATTTATCCAAAGAGCTTGAAGTCAGCAATTCCAAAAGTCCTATGCACCCCAATGTTCACTGCAGCATTATTTACAATAGCCAAGACATGGAAGCAACCTAATTGCCCATCAACAGATGATTGGATAAAGAAGATGTGGTATATACACAATGGACTACTACTCAGCTGCAAAACAGAACAAAATCATCCCATTTGCAATAACACGGATGGACCTTGAGGGAATTATGTTAAGTGAAATAAGCCAGCTAGAGAAGGATAATCTGTGTATGACTTCACTCATATGAGGAATTTAAAAATGTGGACAAAGAGAACAGATTAGTGGCTACCAGGGGAAAGGTGGGGTGGGGGGGTGGGCACAAAGGGTGAAATGGTGCACCTGCAACATGAATGACAAACATTAATGTACAACTGAAATTTCACAAGATTGTAACCTATCATTAACTCAATTAAAAAAAAAAAAAAGAAAGAAAGAAACTTCTGGGCAAAAAGAGCCCAGGGGCTTAATGGTTAAAAAAAAAAAAAAAGATATATGATTGCTATAAAATCTTAGAGAAAGAAATTAAAGAAGATCTAAATAAATGGAGAGTTTATACCATGCTTGTGGATTGGAACACTTAGTGTTAGGATATCCAGGGGGCCTGCCCCATGGCCGAGTGGTTAAGTTCTGGAGCTCTGCTTCAGTGGCCCAGGGTTTTGCAGGTTCAGATCCTGGGCGTGGACATGGCACCACTCATCAGGCCATGCTGAAGTGGCATCCCACATGCCACCACTAGAAGGACCCACAACTGAAATACACAACTATGTACTGGGGGGCTTTGGGGAGAAAAAGGAAAAATAAAAAATAAAAAATAAATAAAAATATTAGGATAAAAAAAAAGAAGGGGAATCCTTATTTTTATGTGATACACAATGAAATATATAGATGACATGATGTCTGGGATCTACTGTGAATTAACCAGGCAGGAGAGCGCGTAGGGTACAAAGGAAACAAGACTGATGGCTTGCTGTGTTGGGGGCACGTGGGGGGGGTCACTGTAGTTTCATATGTGCTTGAAGTTTTCCATAATTAAATGATGATAAAATATATAATGTTCTTTTAAGTGCACTGAGGAGCAGAAGGGCATGCACGAAAACAAGAGAAATTCCCGGTGAGAAAAAACAAACATGAAGGAGAAGAAAGGGAAGGAGGAGGGGGAGAAGGAGAAGGAAGAGGAGTTGGGGCAGGGAGAGGAGGAGGGGGAGGGGGCGGAGGAAGAGGAGGAAGGGGAGGAGGAAGAAAAGGAGAGGCAGGAGGAAGGAAGGGGAGGAGCAAGAAGAGCCTCAGCTGCCCGTTGGGCAGGGAGGGCATTTGCTGATCTGAGACTCTGGTTTCCGAGGAGGTTCCGTGGGGAGCAGGAGAGAGGCGCTGGGGCCAGAGCACTAAGGAGAGTGTGTTCTGAGACATTTCCAGAAAGCTGGCCTCTCCCATGGCTACACCCTCAGCACAAGGGACAGAGCCACAGAAAGCCCCTCCATCGCAAAGGGACAGCCAGGGAAACATCTGTACTGGGCAGGGCTCTGGGGGTTAAAGATAAAAGCAACCCCCATCCCATGAATTTGTAAGGTGAGTTTGGGACTCAGATCAACACTTCCTGGGCGGCCCAGAAACAACCAACTATACCTGAAAGCCAGAAAACCCCAGGAGAATTAGAATCCCAAGGTCTCAACACACAGCCATCAGTGAACAAGTCTGGATGGAGCATCGTCTAAGGGACTGCTGTGGGCGGTGGGACCCGTTAGAAACACGGGAGAGAGAATACAGAGCAACTGTGTCTGCGTGTTTACAGATTTATACGAACGACTTGTACACATGACCGAGGAACAAGGTACAAGTATAAAAGAAACAGGCAGGTTTGAAATGGAACCAAGTAGAACTTTTAGGGAAAAAAATCCAAACCCTTGAACTTGAACTCAGTGGATGAGTTAAACATCAGGTTAATCAGAGTTGCAGGTAGCTCTGAAGAAATGCTCCAGAATGCAAGGGGCTAAAAGATGAGATGCAGAGCATAGAATGCGACAGTTTGACTGATGTCTAACCGGAGTTCTAGGAAAAAAAGGGAGAAATTGGGGTGAGGCAGTATGAAACAGATAATGGCTAAAAAATTTCCAGACTTGATTAAAGCCATGAAATCTCGGATTTAAAAAGTTGAAACAAACAAAAACCCTTAAGCAGCAAAAATAAAAAAGAAATCCAGAGCTTTTAAGGTACAAAAAAGGCACAGATGAATCGTAAATGCTTAAATGCATGTTGCTTAGTGAAAGAAGCTAGTCTGAAAAGGCTACATACTCTGTGACCTTCTGGAAAAGGCAAAACCATGGAGACAGTGAAAAGATCCATGGTTCCCAGGGGTTGGGGGGAGGGGAGAGGGAGGAATAAGGGAATTCACCTATTCCCGTCTGACCATAAGAGATGTTTAGGGCAGTGGAACTATTCTGTGATGCTGTAATGATGGAAACATGACATCATGCATTTTTCCAAACCTATAGAATGTACAGCACCAAGAGTGAACATTAACGTAAACTTTGGACTTTAGTTAATAAGAAGGTATCAATACCGGCTAAGAAGTTATCAATACCGGCTCATCGAGTGCAACAAATGTAGCATACCAACGCCAGATGTTAATAACTGGGGATCCCTGTGTGTGTGTGTGTATGCGTGTGTGGTGAGGGAAAGGGGGGAACTCTCTGCCTTCTGCTCAATTTTTTTGTAAATCTAAAACTTCTGTAAAAAAAAAAAGTCTATTAATTAAAAAAGACATCCAAACTTTGACATACTGTAGTGAGATTGCAGAACACCAAAGACAAGAGAAGACCTTAAAAGCAGCCAGAGGAGAAAAGCTGATTACGTAACAAATAGGCCGATGGCCGGCTGGTCACCAACCACAATGGAATCTGGAAGGTGATGAAACTTTTTCAAAGAAGAGAGAAGAGCAACCTGCCTGGAATTCTGTACCCAGCTGAGAAGTCACTGAAGAGTGAGGATGCAATTCAGATGCTTCAAACAGACAAGGGCCAGGGCACTCTCACCAAGGGAGCCAGCCCGGGCTCTGCCCCCTGGGACCAGGGCGGCACGGCCTCTCACCTTTGCAGTGGGCGTAGGGCATGGTGAGGGTGTAGTCCTCCGCCCGGCTCAGGAAGGTGAGTGTGGCCTTGCCATCCAGCAGAGCTGACAGGGAGTTCCCTGCAGAGATGGAGCAATGGGACCAGTGAGTGGAGATGGACCCTCAGGACCCCAGAGCCCACCACTAAGTCACAGGGTCTGAGCTTCCTTCCAACAGGTGGAAAGAGTCCCCAGCACCTCCAGCTGTGTGACTGTAGGTGGGTCACTTAAGCTCTCTGAGCCTCAGATTCTGTACAAGCCCTGTCCACGTGGCACACATCACCCATCCTAAACACTTACTTAACTTGTCACATAGTAACATTTCTTTCAGTTATTAAAGCAGGATTCTCGGTGGGGATAGGGAAGCTTTTCAAACTAGCCTGAGGCCCTGCTCCAATTTTAAACACCCTTAGAGGGGGTACGGCCCACTCTGGGCTGAGAGTCTCAGCCACGGTGAGTGATGGGAGCACGGAGGTGGGAGGGAGGGGCTGACCCTGCACGCCCTCTGCTGGCTGCTGGGCACGCAGAGGGATTCGGAGCACACCTGCCCACCAAGAAGACGATGAAGAAATGCGGGAAAAATGGAAACGCTTCCGGAGCACCCGCGGTGCCCGGCCCGGAGCATTGCTGCTCCTGGGACTTCCTGTGACGGCGGAAACGTTCTGTCCTGCGCTGTCCGACCCGGGGCCCCAGACGCATGCGGCTCCCGAGCACTAGTGACGTGGCTGCACGTTAAGTTTTACTTCTTTTTAATCAATTTAAATGGCCACATGCAGCAAGCAGCGCCAACTGGACAGCACGGCTCTAGACGGCACCTTTTCATGCAGGGGCTTCCCCATGACCCTCACGGCATCCCTGCCAAGGTTCCCACTCCGAGGCTGAGGGGCGGGGGCCCAGGGAGCTGACTCCAGGGTCTGGGCACTTTACCACCCGCACGGTCCCTGACTAGGAGAGGTGCGGAGGGACACACATGGCCACCACGTGAGGTCTGGTGACCACCGGCTCAGGAGCCCGGCCTGCCCCCATTTCCCCAGGCCCCGTGGAGGGCCCAGGGGAGCCCCCCTCACCGTAGAACCTGGACTTGGCCGTGATGCTGCCGCTGATGCAGAAGCCATCCTTCCGGTTGCTGACGTGGAATGCGGACACGGGCGGGTGGTGTGACACCTGTGGGCAGAGCGGCGGCTCCTGAAATGGCCCCAGCAGTGGGCAGCTCCTGGGAGTCAAGAGCCCGACCTCCTGATGAGAAGCCCCCATCCAGGGCACTCCTCCCAGAGCCAGGAGCAGGCGTGGGCATTTCCAGCTCTCACTTGGGAGCCCAGGGAAGCCGGGCCTGAGTCCCAGGGCCTGGGAGCACACTGGAATCCCCGGACCACCCCAGAGTGCCCCCTAAGAAAACGGGATGCCATGTCCCCCTCCTCAAGGAAACATTCTGCTGTCACAGCAGCATCGCTGTGTCTGCACTGCCTGGGAGAATCCCGGCTGGCTTTCGGGGTTGGATCCATCCCTGCTCTCTGCTGGGGTCCCACCCACTGCCCAGCCCAGCGTCCCCGGGTGCGGCCGGGGGCCTTGCCTGCTCAGCTATGTAGAAGGTGTGGCTGTTGGTCTGGGGGTGGAACCAGCAGCAGCGGAAGGTCTCCCCCAGGATGGGGTTGTAGGGCTTCTTGATTCCCTGCAGGCAACGAATGAAGAGGCTTGGTGAGGAACCAACCGGGTGGGCCACAGACCCCAGCCAGGGTGGGGCATGGACTGAGGGACAACACAGGGGGCGCTGCCCCTGCCCACAGCCCTGGGCATCTGCAGGGAGCAGGTGTCTAGATGGGCCTGGTTTACCACCAGCCTCTGGGGACAGCACCCCACTTCTGCTCGTGACTTACATTCTGGGGGGACAGCCTAGGAGGTGTCCTGTCCACTCCTTGACTCCGAGGGGTACACGAGACCCCGACCAGGACCCACCTCCCTGGACTGTGGTGGAGCCAGTGCACGGCCCGCTCAAAGGCCCTAGTAGCTTCCAAAGACCTTTTAAGTAAAACGCCCAACCCTCTGGCCCAGGCCCCTGGCCTCACCCTCTCCCTCTGCTTCAGCCACGCTCCCCACCTTTCTGCTCCCCACACGGCCCACGTCTGTCCCCACTGCAGGGGTACAAGTTCTCATCTGGAGAGTGCTCCTTCCAGGCCTCCGTGGGGTCCAGATCAGAACCTCTGATCTGATTTGAACCAACTGGACCACCCCCTTCACGCGCCCCCGGATCTCCCTCACTTCCAGCTGTGTGTGTGTCCGCCTCACCCTGGGCGCTCCGTGAGTGATAAAGCTTGCAGGATGCCCTGGACGGACACCTGCCCCTGAGCCTCACCCGCAGCCTCCCATCAATTTTTCTGCTGAACTTCCCAGATCCATCTCTGAGCTGACCCTGCAGCGCCCGGCTGTCCCATCCCAGACAGCCTTCCAGAGCCTCCTCCTCTGAGAAGTCCTCCTGGAGAGGCCCCTTCTGCCCCCAGAGCCCACGCACTCAGCGAGCCTACCTGCGTGCACACCTGGCCCTGCCGAGGGCCAAGGGGCCCCTCTGCCGAGCCCAAGCCTGCGGCCGAACGCGGAAGACCCCAGCAGAGTCAGGAGACCTGGTTCCACTCCCCCAACCTGCTGTGTGACTCTGGTGACTCTGAGGCCATCCCTTTCCCTCCCTGAGCCTCAGTTTCCCCACCTGCACAATGATGAGGTGAAGCCGGAACTGTGGTTTCAAACTTGTGTCCCAGGGAACCCCAGAGTTCCAAGGGGGAGTCAGGGGAGTGGGTGGGGCTGCAGGCCCCTCCTGTCACTGCAACCAGAGCAGCCCTGCCCCCGCCTGAGCCCAGGTTTGGGGTCCTCAAAAGGGGTCCACGACTAAAAGACAAACAATGGAAACCCCAGGTCCCAGGGCCACTGAGGTTCAGGGTCGAAAACCCCTTTTGCGGCATGTGTGTGGCAGCCGTTTCCTTGATGGGGAGGAACACTCTTGGGGGCCTGACCCTCTGTGGGGAGTCAGGGCCTGCCCCATCTCTGAGTGCCTGGGGCCACCGTGGGGACGATCTGGATCCTTCGGGGCCGCGTAGGGTAGGGGAGTGCCCAGGGACGCAGGGCGGGTGGGGGGACCCGGAAGGGACCACTCTCTCCCGGCTGCGGCTGCTTCTTACCTTGGGCTTCTTGTAGAAGCCGGACAGGTACCAGCGCAGCACGAGCTTGATGCGGCTGTAGGCGTCCTCCTCCAGCGCAGCCCTGCGACAAGCGGGACCCCTGACTCCAGGCCGGGCCTGCACCACCTCCTCCCGTTCCCCGGCCCGGCCCTCCCTCCCTCCATCCCAACCCCCGTCCCCTCACTGGAAACAGGCCGCATGGGCCCCTCTGGTCCTGCCCCGTCAGGGCGGCTCCAATGCTGGGGCAGAGAGGGTGCAGCTGGCTAGGGGCTGGCAGGGTGCTCCACCTCCATGAAGCCCCCCTGGTGTTCCCACCCTCACCCAGCTCCCTCTTGTGGGCTCCTGAGCCTGCATTCCCCTTTCCAGCCTCTGCAGCCCGCTGTGCTCAGCCTGAGGACGCCAAGGCCAGGGCTCAGGACTCGGGGAGCACTGAAGATGCTCAGGGTGGACCCCATGCTCACCTTTGAAGGCTCCAGCCCCCGATCAGAGGGACATGGAGCCGCCCCCACTGTCCCTCGCCCCCAGCTCCTCCTGGGGCTGGTCTTGGAGACTGGCCCCCTCGGAGGGCTGAGCCGGCAGGGCCAGTGGACTGAGCTCAGCCCAGGGCCCCGGGGTCCTCCAGAAATCTCCATGGGGCGGGCAGGGGCTGAGGGAGGCTGGGGGTCTCGGGCGCATGTGGTGTGACGGCACCCCCCTGGCTCACCTGGAGAGCAGGTCGGCGTGATAGTAGTAGTCAGAGAGCTTGTTGAGGAAGGAGCGGGGCTCCAGGACGAACGTGGGCAGCACCACGCGGGACAGGTCCATGCCCGGCCGCAGCTGCTTCAGCAGGACCCACATCAGGCTCTTGTTCTCCTCGGACACCGTCTCCACCTGGGATGCCTCACCCAGCTGCCGGCAGAGGGGCTGTGGTCAGTCCCCCAGCTCTGTGCTGTCCAAGGCAGCCAGGAGGGGTGGGCAGGATGGTGGCAGCCGGCTCTGGCTAGAGGAGGCGTGACGGGAGGGGGCGGCTGCACCCCGCCGCCCCGTCAGGCAAACCCCCTGGCTTGGCCCCATCTGGCCCCTGCACTTTCCAGAACGTGTCCCACCCCAGCCCAGAGGGACACCCACTGGGCCCTGGCTCCCTCCAGCCCGGCTGCCCTGGGCCCCGCCCTGGGTCTGGCAAACCCCACACTCTCCAAGTCCATGGGGGAGCCTCCCCCGCCCTGGCTGCTGAGACCCACCCGCGGACTTTGTAGGACTCTGTGCCTGTGGCAGGAGGCGCCATATGCATGGGGAAACCCCCCCAGACCGCTCAATCTCCACGACTGCCCGCAACGTGGGTGCTTCATGCCTGCGCTCCCTTCAGAAAGGGCCCTCATTTGTCCCGGGTCCCACGGCTGGAGGGCTGTCCCGGGCCCCGTCCGCTTCGCCCTGAGCCGTCCACCACCGTGGCTGCGCCCACACGTGCTGCAGAGGGACTGAGCCCGGAGGCAGCTTTGCCCGGCCAGGCCTGGGCAGGGGGCTGCACCTCCCACACCAACAGCAAACCCTCAGGTTGGCAGGATGACCTCTAAAGGGTCACAGAGGTGTCTGGGGATGGCCACCGAGAGGGCAGGTACTGGGGGGCAAGGCCAGCTCTGTGAAGTGCTCACGGGACAAGGCCATCCAGCGGGGACCCTCCCCTCACTCGTAGGAAGCCCCAAGCTGCAGCACCTGGGCGAACGCCAAGCCCACCTCCCCTCCCCAGGGACCCCCACCTTCTGTGGCTCTAAGGCCTTGGGACTGGGGTGTGTTTGCACTTGACAGGGGGGGTCCCCAACCCTCTAAGCCCCCAGGGAGGCCTGAAGCTGGATTTGGGCTGAAGAGGCAGCAGAGGGTCCCAGGCTGCTGGCACTCCTTGTCTTCCTTCCTAGATGCACTCCTCGCAGCAGCCCCAGGACACCTGCACTGCGGTCATCCTCGCTCTACAGAGGGACGAGTGACTTGCCCAGTGTCACGCAGCTTGTGTGAGGCAGAGGTGGGATCTGAACTCAGGGCTGTCTGTGTTCTTGGCCTGGATGGCAGCCACTCCCAGGGAGACAGAATGGGGTGCCAGCAGTCACCATCCTGCTGGGTTGCCTTAGACAAGTCACTTTGCCTCTCTGTGCCTGCCTCGCTGTGGCCAAGGCCTGGTGCTTGGATAGCACACCTGGGCACCTAGGGGATGGGGAGCCCCTGGGGGAGGGCCATGCCTGACCCTCGTGCGGGGACCAGCCAATGAGCGGCACGTGGAGCCCTGAGCATCCCTGGCTTCCATCTCCAGGCCAGCCTTCAGCTCAGGGGGCAGCTGCGAACCCTCCGGCACCCCCATGTCCCACCCCTACTCCCTTTAGCCCTGCCCCTCCCCCCTCAAGAATGCCCTGGTGAAGGTCGCCACCACCCGTTACCTATCCTGTGGTCACCCCCTCTGTCCTCCTGCTCCACCTGTCAGCACAGCAGCCCCTGAGCCCCCTGCACTCTGGGCTCCCCTCCCACTGCCCTGGGGTCCCCTGCAGGGCCTCATCTGTGCTCATCCTCTGAAGGGTGGGGTGCCCCTGCCCATGGGACCCTCAGGCTGCCCACTCCACGCCCTTATGCCCTGAGCCCTGGACCCTCCCAAGCAGCAGCATCTCCCCTGGATGTCCAAACTCGGACACAGTCCTGTCCCCACGCCCAGCCGCCAGCTCCTTCTCCCAGGGCGCCCACCTCGCAGGTGGCACCACCGTCTGGCCAGGACCTGCCCTGCCCGTCCGTCCACCTGCAATGCATCCACACCCCCAGTGCCCCTCCTCCATCGCTGCCAGGTCCAGGTGCCCCTGGCTTTCTCCTGACAACAGCTCCTCCTCAGCAGGTCCCATTTCTCCCTCTGCCCCTCAGCCCTCGGAAAGTCTCCCCTGGACCCAGCAGGCCCCCACCTACCACCCTCTGTGGCCTCCCAACACGCTCAGCCCCAGCCCTACGGCCCTCCCCTGCTCTCCCCAAGTCCCACCATCCTGACCTTCCTGTGCCCTGAGGGCCTGCAGGCCGTCCGCCAGGGGACGGCCAGGCACAGCCACCACCACTTCAGGGACCAGGGGTGAGGTGAAGGGTGATGCCCCAGGCGGGGTGGGCTCTCACCTCCCCCAGCTCCTCGTGGGCCTGCTCCACATACGTGGTCCCTCTCCGTGCTGGGCGCCCTGGGGTCTCTGACTGGTCACTCCCGCTCTCGGTCTTCCGGCTGTGGTCCTGGGCCTCAGCGTCTGACTCCTCGGCGTTCTCTCTCTCCGACTTGTCTGAGAAAGCATCGTTCTCCAGGGAGGACCCGTTCAGCCTGGAAGGCAGGTGGTGCCCGTGGGTCCCAGGTCACAGGTGAGGCCCAGGCACCCCCACCCAGGGCCCCCGTCACTGCTGGGCGCTTCACCCACATCCCTGGGTTTAATCGCCTTGGCAACTGGCATTTGACACTATTAGGCCAGTTCATAGACGAAGACACTCAGGCTCCCAGGTCCACATGGAGTGCCGGAGGCCAGCCTCCTGACCCGGGGCTCGGTGGCCCATGGGATATCGTGCTTGCCCCCATGTACGAGGAGACCCATGTGTCAGTGCCCTGGGGGTCCCCAGCCTCGAGCTCCCAGGAGGGGCCGACCCCGCCCTCCGCGCCCTGCTCACGGGAAGAGGTCCTGGTCGTGGATGGCCGCTGAGGGGGGCAGGCCGCAGAGTGAGGAGGGCGATGCGTCTGGTGAGGACCCGGGCTCCCCGTCGCGGCCCTGCTTGCAGGCGCTGAGTCTCAGGAGGCTGGAGCAGCGCAGCGCCAGCTCCAGGGCGTCCAGCCAGCAGCGGCCTGTGGGGGAGCATGGGCTGAGCCAACCCGGCCCCGGAGCCCCTGCCTCCCGCCCCTCCACTGGGGACCTAATCTGCCCCGCTCTCGCCCTTCCTCACCAAGGAGCCCCCCATAGCCTCCTACTGGGGAGCCCCCACATCGACCAGGATGCCCTTCCCCAAGGAGCTCCCACTCCACCATGGGGAGTCCTCCTCGGGCCCCTCTACAAGGGGTGTTCACCCCTTTCCCTCGGCTGGTCCTCACCAAAGACCCCCCTTGTGTCCCCCTCAGGAAACTCCCCCCCTTGTCCTGACACTTTGGGGATCCCCCCAAGCCCAGTAGACAGCCCCGCTTAGCCCTCCCCTTCCCCACCAGGGATGCTGCCCCCGCCCCCCCGCCCCCTCCCCGTCCCAACAGAGATCCCTTCCCTCTCCACCATCCACCCAGAGAGTGCCCTCCACAGGGACCTCTGCCGTGTGCGTGTGCGAGTGTGTATGTGCAAGTGTGTGTGTGTGAGTGTCAGGAGCAGACCTGAAGAGTCCCGTGGCCACGGACTTAGCAGGCAGGCCCTGATTCGGAGATGCATGTCCAGAGGAAGCTGTCGCTCAGACAGGCCTCAAAGGATGCTCACACACCCCCTCAAGGTCACATCCCAGCAAGACTCAGAGCTCCCTCCACCCAGACGCCCCTCAGGTTCCCGCATATGGAGTGGGGAGGGGACCCTCCCTGACCAAACTGTCTGCCACAGGTTGGGGAACAGGAGCAGGAGTGGGCCTCAGGGGCGAGGGCTCCTGCTGGCCTGGAGCACAGGGCAGGAGGGTGGGAGGCAGGCTGGGGAGGGGCTGCCAAGCCCAGGGAGCGTCCCAGTGGGAGGGCTGGCGATAGAAGGGCAGTTTATAGATGAGGAAACTGAGGCTTCCAGGCCCACACGGAGTGGAAGAGGCTGGCCTCCTGACTGGAGGCTTGGTGGCCAGTGGCACATTGTGCCTGCCCGCATGTACAAGGAGACCTGTGTGTCAGTGCCAGTGACAGCCAGGGTCTGGGGGTCCCCAGCCCCGGGCTCCTGGGGGTGCTGAGCCTGCCCTCCTGGTGCCGGAACAGATCCGGGAGGGCGGGGAGGGAGGCCTGGGGTGTGCTGGACGGGGGAGCAGATGGGCCTGGAGGGCAGAGTGGTGGTGGGCAGAGCCAGCTGCCTCCAATGCCCAGCCTTCATCCCTCATCCGTGCTGCCCTCCCGGTGGAGGCCACCAGCGGGTTAGACCAGCACCAGCCGCATGTCCCAGGGTGTTAACAGCTGTGGGGCGTGTGTCCACCAGGTGACCCCTGATGTCTTGGTGTGATCACTAACAGTGGCCCTTCCACTCGCGAGAGCGTCTACAATGATATGCTGTGCTACTCAGAGACGGGCTTTGGGGTCTTTGAGAGTGGGGGTGCCAGACTAAGGCACTTTCAGGAAGGTTCTTGTCGGAGCAGCTTCCTTCCCAATGATGAAAACCACAGAACGGGAATCGGGGGAGGGGCCTGCAGGGGTGGTGGCTCCTGCTTCTCAGGGGACACCTGGGATCCTGCCGGGGTTCCCTGCAGGCTGGCTCGGAGCCCGAGAGCCCCATGGCTGAACGTGGGCCTGGGCTGAACATTCACAGGGGACAAAGGTGGGGGTCAGGGGAGCAGTACCTACCGAGTTGGAACTGGGGCCTGAATGCTCGTGTTCTCTGGTGGCCGCAAAGGACTGCACATCCTGAGCACTATGCATCCTTTGAGCCCATCCCAAGACCGGGCTGCCTCCCCCAGGAAGCCCACCCTCATACCCATGGGGGCTGTGGATGCCCTTCCTCCCTGATCACGGCCCCCTGACCCCATCAGGGACTCAGCTCACACTCCAGCCCAACCGGCCTTGTCTGACAGTTCACTGCTCATGTCTCCCCCAAGACTGTAGGCTCCATGAGGGCATGGGCTGCCCTGTCCATCCCGGGCCCGTGCGGGGCCTGGCACAGAGTCGGGGGCTCAGGAAAAGTCAGTGGAATTCAGAGGACCGAAGGGCGTGGATGTGGAGTCTGACCACCAGGGGGCGGCGAGGCACCAGCAGGACCGCCACTTGTCTAGGACATCGAGCCGGAAGGGCGGGAGCCCTCGGGTCAGGCCAGGCTGCCTGAGGCAGGGCGCTGGCCACCCTGGACCACCGGTGGGATGGCTGCCCGTCACCCCATCTCCAGGAGGTGCCCTCAGAGGGCTCGGCGGGAGGGGCAGCCGCATTTGCTCGGAGTGACCACTGGAGGGCACTCCATCAACGTGTGATGCACCGGGATGTGAGGAAATCAGTTCCTATCCAGGCTCCAGCACTTTCCTGTTGGCAGTCTGCCAGTGCCTCGGTTTTCTCATGTGTCAAATGCGGATGGTAACAGTAGAACCTATCGATTCAAGGGTGCCTGGCGCTCAGTAACCTGGTTGCTTTATATAAGGTCACCTGGTTCTCGTAACTATTGGGGAGACAGGTGTTCTCACTCACGGTTTGCCCGTGGGGAAACTGAGGCTCAGAGAGGGGTACGAGTGAGTGGTGGCCTGCCTGGCCCAGGCCCGGGCTTGTCCCATGATTGCCTCCTTCCTGGGCGGTGGTGGAAGGGCCCGAACGGGGTCACGGGCACCTGCTCCACAACTTTGCCAGGGGGTCCCGGTTCCAGGTGGGGGAGACCCGTGGGGTGGGCGGAGACTCACCGTCTGATTCGGAGGCGGCCCTGAAGATCAGGTAGCTGCTGGGGAGGGGCTGCGTGATGGAGCCGACACTCTCCCCTCTGGGACCCTGGAGAGGCAGAGACCCCTGTCACCCGAGGGAGCACCCAGAACAGGTGGAAACACGTCACTCAGGGCATGCAGACCCACAGGGAGACACGCATGGCACTTCTGGGGCCTCAGGGCCCCGCCGGCGTGGTCAGGCACCAGCCACATGGACACGGGAGGCAAAGAGGTGGGAGCTCGCTTTCCCCTCCTCAGCTGGTGGCTCTGTCCCCTCCTTTCCAGCTCTGAACTCCCCAATCCAGGGTGCCAGAATCAGCATCTGCAAACCCAGGATGCCCGATACAGTTCTAATTTCAGAGAAATAATAAATACTGTTATTTTGGTATAAATATACCCGTGCAATATTTGAGACATACTTCTACTAAAAAATGATTTGATGTTTCTCTGAAATCCAAAGTTACCTGGGCACTCTGGGTTCGATCTGGCAACCTGACCCCAGTTAGTCCTGGGCTGGGCAGCCCCGGGGTCATGAGGGGTGAGGTCTGGGCAGCCACTCACGTGGCCCTGTTCCCCCACCTCTGGGCAGGGCTCGAGGTGTCCTCTTGCTCCCATCGTGTCACCTCCGCATGGAGGGCCAGGGACCACATCTGATCCCCTGGCCACTGAGAGAATTAACCCAGGGCCCCTGCAGCTGGGCGGTGATGGGCCCATTTGGAACTGACAGCCTGCTTCTGGACCCCCCACCCCACCCCATTTCTGGGGCCCCAGGATGAGCCTCCTGCAGCCTGAAAGTGCTCTTCCACACGGCTCCCAGGGGGCCGCTCTCCTGGCCCCAGGCCTGGCCCTCCCGAGCCCCAGCTCCCACAGCAGTACCTTCACGGCCCACACGGACTGGTCCAGCGGGTGGAAGAGCTTGAAGCAGAAGCCATCCTTCTTGGAGGGCCGCTCGATGAGCTCGCAGCAGTGCAGCAGCACCGTGCCCACCCACTGGCCCACCTTGGGCGTCTTGTAGATGAGCAGCACCCCTGGCTTCAGCACGCACCACAGTTTGGTCCAGCTCTTCAGGGTCCCTCGGATCTGTGGGGACGGACACCGCTGCTGCTGACACCTTGGAGGCCGATGCCCCAGGGGCAGCCGGCTGGCTTCGGGGGAGGGGAGTGGGGGCAGAGCGGGTGGGGCTCTGGGCTGCGGGCAGATTTCTCTACCAGCTTTAAAAGGAGCTCATAAATTATAACGAATCTAAAGAAACACACCACAGCCAGGAACAGATTTACTCGTGAAGCTCGAGGCCAAGTTCAAGTTCAAGCTCACGTTCACGGTCCTCCAGGGTCCTGGGAGGAACCAGCAAGGAGCTGCGACTGTTGCAATTGTCAGCTTTGTAAATTCTGAAACTTGTCATTTCTTTTCTCATTCTAAATAAATATGCACTTTTGTGCACTTTTTGTGATGAAAAAAAAAGTTTCCCATGTGGTCCTGGGCTGTGCAATGACCAGGCCCCTGATGCACTTGCCTCATTTACACTTCACGGCAGACCCCAAATTCGGCAGCTTTACCCCACTGTGTGGAGCTGGAAACCGAGGCTCGGGGTGCGGGAGCTGCCCACCGCCTCAGTGAGGTCTGAGCATGGCCTCTGACCCCAACCCTGGTCCTTTCCCGGGAAGCCTGAGTTTCGCCTCCTCCTGTGCCCAGCACAGGGCCCCACAGGCACTCTGGGACCCCCCACCCTGGGCCACGGCCACCACCTCACTGGACAGAGGGTCTCTGCAGATGTCAGCAAGTGAACTCGAGGCCACACTGGATGAGGGTGGGCCCTGATCCAGCGACTGGGTCCTTACAAGAAGAGAAGAGGTCACAGAGAGACATGGGGAGGAGGCTGTGCGCGATGGAGGCAGAGACTGGGGTGATGCGGCCACCAGCCCAGGGACACCTGGACCCCAGAAGCTGGAAGAGGCAGGAAGGACCCTCCCTGGAACCACGGGAGGGAGCATAGCCCTGCTGACACATTGATTTTGGCCTTTGGCCTCCGGACGCAGGAGAGAATCAATTTCTACGGTTTTCAGCTGCCAGCATGTGGCCATTTGTTAGGGCAGCCCCAGGACACTGGCACAGACTTGAAGTAACGAACACACTGAACTATCTCCCGAGTGGCTGTGACTGCACCATCCTTGGGGGAGGCCTCCTGACTGAGCCCTGGACGACACGGTGCCCGGCACGCCTACCTTCAGGCTGTCGGCCATGATGACCACGCTGGGGTCCGTCAGGGCGCTGAACAGCTGCTTGGTGGCCCGCTTCTTCTCCTGCCGGTAGGTCTCCTTCTGCGCCTGCGCCCGGGGTACCCAGAGGGCGGGTCAAGGGAGAAGGCTGGGGCTGACCAGCCCCCAGCTCCTCCTGCCCTTGGGACCTCCGCCGTCTAGCCCGGGGAGTGAGGACAGGGGCAGGGCGAGGAGAGGGAGTGGGGGCACGGAGGTGGCCAGGGGGCGGTTTGTCCCCTCCCTTTGGCAGGCTGGGGGATGGTGGCCTCACTGGCCCAGGTGCCCACTCACACCCATACCCCCTCCTGGGGTCTGTGCCCACCTTGAGAGTCTCCTTCTTGGTGACCCTGGCTGTAGGGGACACACACTCCTTGTCAGACCCGTTGCACAGCCTGGACTCTGCCTGCAGGAGAGAGACTGAGGCTGGGGGAGAGGGCATCGGGGTGCGGCCTGGGGCTGCTGAGGGCCGTATGGGCCGGCTGGAGGCCCAGGGTGTGCACCAGAGGCAGAGACAGGCACCTGGTCCCTGCCCGCCCCTGTCCAGGTCACCAACACTTCTGGGGGGCGGGGCGGGGTGTAGGATCAGGGTGGTCGAGGAGAGCATATGAATGGAGCTCGGAGGTGACCACCAGGCCTAGGTTCAAGGTCAGTATCTCCCCGGGTGCCCACACGGGGAAGCCAGCAATGACCCTCCTCACGCTGCCCAGGAAGCGTCCTTCTGAGGCGCTGCCACGTGACCAGCTCCGGACAAGGAGGGGCCCACACATGCTGGGGGGGCTCCCATCCCTGGTGCCCTGGGGACTACTGCGCGGGAACCACCACGCGGGGCCTCTCCCGAGCCTGCCCTGGCTGCCGGCGAGAAGGCACTGCCTGCCAGGCCCACCGGGCAGCCCGCGGGGGCTGAGAGCAGCGATCCGGGGACCCAGGAGCTGGAGGGGCCGTGGTCCTCCCACAGAAGGGGAAAGGGAGGTGGGGGAGGGGAGTAGGGAGAAAGAGCCAGGACTGTAGGCTACAGATAGGGGGATGGCAGGCTGCAGCCTGAAGCCCGGCCCCGCCTGCGAGCCTCGAGGGGTTTACATGTGTAAGTGGCTGAAAAAAAATCAGAAGGATGATATTTTGTGAGATGTGTAAGTCCCACAATTTCAAATTTCGACATCTGTAAATAAGGCTTTCCCGGCCCCAGCCATGCCCTTCCATTTCCATGTGGTCCACAGTGGCCGGGAAGCCTCAAATACTCCTCTCCGGTCCTTTCCAGAAAGACTCCCGCCCCGCTCTGCTCTCCGGGCTGCGTGCCTGGGTGTTCTCGCCACCACCCCCCAGCCTCCATGCAAGGGAGGCAGGCCCGGCGGCCAGCGGCTCCCGCCCTGCACAGGCGACAGGGTGAGATGACGCAGCGGAGACCAGCACCAGCCGACACCGTCGTCGCCTGGATGGGTCTCAGGTGCTGTGCCTGGATTCGCTCACTTAATTCTCTCAACCGCCCACGAGGGGGCCTGGTTCTTGTCCCCGCTTAACTGACTAGGAAACAAAGGCACAGAGAGGTGGAGTAGCTCCTGGAGGCTGCAGAGTAGGCACGTGGCAGGGCTGGGACCTGAACTGTCTAGCGGAGCCACGTTCCCACAGGACTGCGTGCCAGGCGTGACTTCAGGCGCTGGGGTTGGAAAGGAGCCAGGCTGTCCACAAGCAGGAGGGGCTGTAGGACCCGGGGTGGGGGGGTGGAGAGCAGTGCGCACATGAACTGCCACAGCCCAGGTCATCGTCATTACCTACGTCCTGCAGACAGGGGGACTGCGGCACAGAGAGGCTCGGGAACCTGCCCCCGGCCACACAGCTCACGTGGAGTGGAGCCGAGCTCCGACTGAACTCGGACAGCCTCACTCTGGAGCTGTACTCTATGAGACCAATGAGAACATTCCAGATCATAGGAAGACAGGGACACGGGACCGGGGTGCCCGGGGGACTCTGCTCTAGAAGCAGTCTTTGAGCTGAAGCAGGAGTGATAGAAGGAGCCAGATCTGAGTGACGATACGTATGCTGGACCTTGACCAGGTGACAGGCCCCCAGGGGCCGGGCCTGACCGACAGGATGCCCCAGTTGCCTTCCTGAGGAGCTGGGGTTCTTGTGCAGTGTCCTCAGTGCACTTGGCACATGCTGTTCCCCTGGTATGGAATGCTCTTCCCTGTTGCCGAACAGCCTCTGCTCCTTCCTCAGGCCCCACTGAGCCGCTTCCCAGGAAGAAAGAAGACTACGACTGCCTTGCTGGCATCAGACCCCCTCAACACACACCCACCCTTGGTCCCCTAGCACCTCTGCAATTCCAGCCTCCCAGACGATTCTGTTTAGTGTCTGGAGCACCCGCCAGGGACACTTACATCCCAGCACCTCCTCGGCCCCGGCAGCCGGGAGCTCGGTAAGCGTCTTGAACGAACGCACAAAGCTGCTGCCAATTCCCCGTGGCCGGCTGTCCCCCAGCTGTGGCTGAATGGAGCTGTGCTTGTTTTAGGCAACAGAGGGAGAGAGAAGGCGAGATCTGGGGCGGTGGGCCTGGGGAGGGGTGGACAGGATGGAGCGTCTGACCCGAGCATCCCTCTGCTTCAAGACCCAGCAAGGCCAGCCGGGGTCTGGTCACAGCAGCCCCGGCCCAGCACTGCAGGCAGTGCCCGCCGCGTCTGCCTTCCCGGGGCTGTGCTGGGCCCCTGCCCAGGCCCCCAGGGCCCTCTGCTCATGCCCGCATGCTGCCTGCCGCACGTCAGGGCCGGTGAGGTGGGGAAGCACCTCAGAGACGAGAGATGCTGCTCAGAACTGTGAACTCGAGTGTCTGACCAGAAAGGGGCCACCTATCATTTACTTAAGAAACTGACTTAGAACAACCAACAGGATGCGAGAAGGTAGCATTTGCAATCATATATCTGACAAGGTTCTAGTGTCCAGATTATATAAAGAACTCCCACAGCGACTCACAATAGAAAGACAAATAATCCAGTTAAAAAATGGGCAAAGGGCCTGAATAGACATTTCTCCAAAGAAGATACACAAATGGCCAAGAAGCACATGAAAAGATGCCCAACATCTCTAATCATTAGGGAAACGCAAATCAAACCAGAATGAGACACCAGTTCACACCTACTGGGATTGCTAGACTAATGATTTAAAAAACCCAGAAAAACACAAGTGTTGGCGAGCGTGTGAGCGATGGGAGCCCTCACGCATGGCTCACGGGATTGTAAAACAGTGCAGCTGCTGGCGGAAACAGTTTGGCAGCTTCTCAAAAAGTTAAACATAGAATTTTTGACAATTCCATGTTACTATAGACTATAGAATATTCTATACTATAGAACTGCCACATAGCCCAGCAATTCCCCTCATAAGTATGAACCCCAAAGAATTGAGATCAGAGACTCTAACAAATACACATCCATGTGCGTCCATGGCAGCATCGTCCACAGCAGCTGAGAAGTGGGAACAGCCTGACTGTCCACCAGCCAAGGAAGAGACAAGCCCGCTGTGGCCCACCTACTCAGAGGAATATTACTCAGCCCTAAAAAGGAACAAAGCACCAACTCATGCCACCACATGGATGACTCCCAAAGCACTATGCTCAGTGACAGAGGCCAGTCACCAAAGACCACTCTGTGCAATCCGTTTATACGGAACGTCCAGAATGAGGCAAATCCATAGAGACGGAAAGTGGAGGAGAGGCTGCCAGGGGCTGGGGGAGCGAGAATGGGAGTGACAGCTCATGGGGCTTCAGTGTGGGATGATGAGAATGTTCTGGAACTAGACAGAGGTGGTGCTTGCACAGCATTGTGAATGCACTAAATCGTTCACTTAAAATGGTTAATTTCACGTTATTTGAATTTTATATCATTAAGAATATATAACACATTATATATACATACATACGTATCTATACACGCATGTGCGTACATATACACACACATATGTGTATTCGAGTTTGCATCTTTTCCCAAGCCGTGCCCCCTAAAGCAGCCCCAAGTTGCTTGCAAGAATCGGGGGGTGTGAGGAGCCTTCCTTCCTTCCCCCGTGGGCTCTGACGCGCTGCCGACGCCCTTGGTCTGTCTGGCGCCTGTCTCCGCCCCCGGGACGTGAGCTCCAGGAGAGCAGAGACTTGCTTCCTCCATGACGCCCTGCGGCATCTACAGCAGTGCGGGGCCTTGCGCACACACAAGAAGCTCAGAAGACAACTACTGGCTGAATGAACAAAATCCGAAATTTGAACCAAATCGAGCGTTTCTGGCAACGCTTGTATGTTTTATTGGGTTGTAGAAGGACAGCCACGTCTCCGATGCTCTTATGCAATCAATCTGTATCTTAAAACAATGAACAACTCAAGTGTCCAACGACACGGGAATGGATACATGGTCCATCCACCCAGTGGAGGGTTGTTCACCCTTAAAGCCGAGGAATCCTGACTGACGTGGGTGAACCTAGAGGACACGCTGAGTGAAGTAAGCCAGACACGAAAGGCCCAATCCCGCGTGATCCCACTCACATGAGGTCCCTGGAGGAGTCAAGTCCACAGAGACAGAAAGTAGGGTGATGGGCGCTGGGGGCTGGGGGAGGGGGAGTCAGTGTTTAACGGGGACAGAGTCTCAGTTTGGGAAGATGGAAAGTTCTGGAGATGGATGGTGGTGATGATTGCACCACAATGTGAATGTGCTTAACGCCACTGAGCTGTGAGCTTAGAAATGGTTAGGGTGGTAAATTTTGTGTTACCTGTATTTTACTACGAATTAAACATTTAAAAAAAATTAAAAATAATTCCAAACATACACATGTACACACACAGAGACACAAATGCTGGTGCTCCGACTGCTCACCCAGCAGCCGGCAGCCCTGGGGCCAGGGGGCACACAGGCTCCGGGGGTGGGGGACCCACCGAAAGTCTGGCTGCTGCTTCGCCTGAGGTGGACACGGGCACAGCCGGTCAGAACCACCACTAACCCCTGTGTGACAGACCAGGACCTGGGGCCTGGAGAAGCAAGGCCATTGCTCTGGGTCACACGGGGGCGCAGGGGGCAGGGCGGGGGAGAAGCTGGCTCTCCCCGCGTAGCGCCCCAGACCCACCTCAGAACCCGGAGCCACCAAGCTGGGTCAGCGTCTGGGCTGTGGCTTCCCCGACCTGGGTGCCTCATGGAGGGGCAGGAAGGGTGTGCCCGAAACCCCACTGGTGGTGCCCGGCTTCCTCCCCTCCCCTGACCGAAGCGAGCCTGCAGGGGCACAGCTGGGCCCAGCTGAGAGGGCTGGCCTGCGGAGCACATGGGGTGTGTGTGTCCATGGGTGTGTGTCTGTGTGAATGTGTGTCTGTGTGAGTGTGAGTGTCTGAGTGTGTCTCTGTGTGTGAGTGTATATCTGTGTGCCTGTGAGTGTGTGTGAGTATACGTATCTGTGTGTGTCTGTGTGTGTCTATGTGAGTGTGTTTATGTCTGTGTCTATGTGAATGTGTCTGTGGGTGTGTCTGTGTCTATGTCTATGTGTGTGTGTGTGTGTCTCTGTGAGTGTGCATGTGTGTACGTGTGTGTGCTTTTCCAGATCGCGGCATCATGCTGGAGAGGGTGATCCTGGTGGAGGGAACAGCACAGGCAGAGGCAGAGGGAGGAACAGCTCACCCCTCGACAGGGCTCTGGGGCCTCCTTTCGTCACTATTTTCTGTCCCCGAATGCCGCCTGGCAGCCCACAGCCTTTCTCTCGCCTCCGTCTCGCCAGGAAGGGGCTTTGATGAAGCGGCTGACCGGCTGTGTGGCCGCCCCTCCTGCCAGCGGCCTCCCTGGACTCGAAATCTGGATTCAGGGCTGACCCCCACGGAATGGACCAGTGCCCCTGCTGTCCCCTGCCCTGAGCCACTTCCTGTTGTCCCCTGGCAGGCTCCCACAGCCCGGTCTTACCGGTGGCACCTTCGTGGCAGAGCCTGGGGTCGGAGGCCCTTCATCTCTCGGCAGCGATGGGCCGTTGGGCTCCATGTCCTTCCCTGCAAGAGAGCAGCGGGGGGTGAGGGCCGGGGCATGGCGGGTCGGCCGGCCTGGGCTGGCTGCCAGTGTGGCAGGCGAGGGTGGGCGAGGGTGGCCTGGGTGGGGCAGGAAGCCAGCCCGAGGCCGCTGGGACTCTGCCCCGAGAGAGCTGAGCACCACCAGCTGGCGTCACGGCTGGGGGAGTGTCAGGCAGGGAGGAGCCCGGGCACCCTGAGCACTGTGGTGGCGTGTCCTTTGGGCTTCTGTAAAGACAGGCCCACCTGTTTTCAGGCAAAGATTGTGGCGTCCAGGCCCAGAGGCACGCGGCCGGTTCAGGGCCGGCACCACCCCCCGGCCTCCTTCCACACCCGAACCCTCGGGCCAGAATCCCCTCGCCCCTGAGCGCTGGACTCTGGAGGGGGTGGCCAGACAGCATTCCTGCACCAGCCCGGGCAGGTGCCCATGTCCCTCTCCAGCTTGGCTGAGGCGGAGGGACAGGAATGCGAGGTGTCAGCATCTGATCCTGGGGCATCGGTCACCCTCCCTTGCTCCGTGTGCTGTGAAGTGGGTTTCCAAAGCTGGGGTTCCCGGCCGGAGCAAGGAGGGGACGGTCTCGGAGGAGGCCGCCTGATGGCCACTCCAGCCCGCTTCCCAGGGCCGGTGGTTTACTGCTGGGGGCGGTGGGACAGGCACCCGAGAACCAGCCTGGGCAGGGGCTCTGCAGACCCACTCCCCGGAGCCCTGGGCAGGGGCTGGGGGCTGAGAGCCGTCTCTGCAGAAAGCTGGCTCGGTGACCTGAGGATGTGATGCCGGCTCCAGGGCCCAGGTTCCCCTGGGGCAGGAAAGGCCCTGGACCAGCGGTCACTCGAGGTCACACGGCACCCCTGCCCTCGGCCCCGCCTCGCTGCCTCCCCGTCCACACAGCACCCCGAGCCCTGACCCAAAGCCTGGGCTGGGGGTGAGCGGGGCTTCCTCCACTCCCCAGGGGCCCTCCTCCAGGTCCTCTTGATTACACAGCTGTCTTGGGGGCTTGTTCACAGCTGTCAGAAGGCAGTGGCCCAGGGTGGGTGCCGCCTGCTGGGCTGGGCGGACTTGGGGCCCTCAGAGCATCTGAGGGAGCGGGCGCCGGCGCTCCCCTCCTCTCGGCCTGTTCACACCCGCCTTCCTTCTCTGCCCCCCAACCTGCCACCTCCTCTGCTCCCTGGAGAAGGTCCTCACCCCACGTGGGGCCTGCACTGCCTGGGCCAGCCGCGCTGGGGACCAAATCCCTCTGAAACTGACCGCCAACTGGGACCCGCCCCTCCCCTCCCACCCTGCTCCCCAGGGAGTGGCAGGAGAGCAGAAGGTCGGATTTATTTCCCCAGGTGTCCTGCCGTGTGACTTCGACAGGCCCGCCCCATGCAGCCTCAGTTTCCCCATCTGTTTGATGGGTCCCCAGAGGCCCCTGCCAGCGTGTGGGCCTCACGCTCTCCCGGTCTCCTCCAGGGGCAGGACAGACACTGTGGACAGAAGGGTACTGGCTCCTCTCTCCTCACTCCCAAAGCAGGCGGGGCGTAAGGGCGGGCAGGCCGGAGGAGGCCGGCCAGGCCCAGGGAGGAGGGAGGGGCTGCTGTGCCCCTACACAAGGGCACCAGGAAGGAAGGGCTGGGCTGGGGGGACAGCAGTCACAGACACGGCCGAGAGAGCTCAGCCCAGACGTGGAGAGGTGGGAGATGGGGGCACCTGGAGCCGCGAAAGCAGCAGCAGGTACAGGTGACCCAGGGGTCTACGTCCTTAGCGCTTTACCCCCGAGCTGCACGAGAGCAGCCCTGTCTGAATCTTCCCCCCCAGAGCCAGGACGCCTCTGAAGCTGGGAGCAGGTACTAATGTTATCTCCACTTTACAGATGAGCAAACTGAGGCCCAGAGAGGTCCTGCCACTGGCCCAGGGTCACCCAGCCAGGAGAGCTGGAGCTGGAACTCAGGCTGCCTGTCCCGGGGCCTGTGTTTGGGACCAGTGCACCACACTGTCTCTTCAAGGATGACGAGCTGCCCCCTGAACCTGGACTGGGGAGCCCCCTGCTTGAGCTCCAGATGGGCTTCACCCGATCCCACTGGCCACGGCTCTTTACTGCTTGGCAAGGCCTCTGTTCGTCCGTCCCGCACAGCACCCAGCATTGAGGTGGGCGGAAGCAGAGCAAGGCTGTCGACCCCACTGACAGGGACAGCACAGAGAGGGGAAGCGACCTGCCTAAGATCACACAGCCAGGCTGCAAAGCCAGGGAGGACCCAGGCCCTGGCGGCTGCCCAGCCCCCACCCCTCGCCCTCGCCCCAGCTGCCGGGGGCCGCCTGGGCCAGCACTGACCTGGGCTGAGAGGGTAGAGCTCATTCTCTCCCCCGAAGAGCAGGTTGCGGGTGAGTTTCCGGGGGTCGACTTTCTGAGGGGTAGAGGAAGGCGGGCACAGTGAGAAGCGGCGCCGGAGAAAGGCCTCCTCCTTCATGGCCTGGGCGCTGGGGGGCTTCTGGAAGGGAGAAGAGCATGGGTCACACCACGGGCGGCCCTGGGGCCTGGATGCAGGCAGCCATCCTCCCCTACCCTGGCCAGGGGGCCAAAGACACTCCAGAAGGTCAGGGGTGAGTGGCGGGGGCCACCGTGTCTTATGCTCAGGTCCCCACTCAGGGGACATCTCAGAAATGGGACGAGCAGGGCCCAAGGGCCCTGCGTTCAGCAGGGGCGGTCGGCCCGGGGGAGGCTGCCCGGCCGAGCTCAGGCTTTCCAGGGCTGATGAGTGAGGATGGGCTGTGACAAAGCCCTCGTCAGGAGCCAGGCTGGACCAGCCCCCCGGGGAAGGAGTGCAGTCCACCCCAGGTGTGGAGCTACCTCTTTCTGAGAACCCCACCTCCCAGGCCCAGTGCTCAACCGGCTCCCTAAGACCCTGGCCACAGCCAAGTGGCCCTGGGGTGGGCACCTGACCCATGCTGGGCCACCAGGTTTTCCCTCCCAGGTGACGGAGCTCCATGGTGGGGAGACAGCACTGATGCACGCGGGGTTGGGGGGGGGGTGGGGGCGGCCAAGAGCTGCCCCAAGAGAGGGGACGCAGGCAGGCGGGACAGGTGGCCCCAGAGTGCAGGAAGGTGGTGGTGCTGGGGCCGTCCCTGAGCTTGGCCTGCCCATCCCGTCCAAGGACGCCAGGAGCCCCTCCTCTCCGCGCTCCTTCAGTCTGTCTTCCCGGCTGCAGCTCCCAGGGCACCTTCCTTACACGCAGAGAAAGCACAGGGGTGCCAAGGCGAGGTGCACCCGGCTTCACACGCCCGCCCCAAGACATCGCGTCCCTGGATGAGCCGCCTTACTCCCTCCCTCTCAGCACCGTCCGAGACAGCGCCCGGGGAACCCACAGAAGGAGCAGCCACGGGGAGTTCCATGTCTGTCCTCCCGCCGCCTGTCACGCCCTCCCGGGCCCTGCCACTGCCCGGCCTCCTTCCCTCTCTCCTGTCCCCCTCACAGCCCTACCCCAAGCAGGGCTGGGGCACGCGGTTGACAGCTGACGACACCGGCCCCGCCGCCGTCAGCCCGCTTTATACATGAGCAGATCGTGGCTCCGAGAGCTGAAGGCCTCGCCCTGTGGGCACAGCCGGGAGGCGCTGGCAGAGCCGGACTCCAGCCCCTAGTCCTGCGCTCCGTCCTCTCCCCGAGGATGTGCTCCACAAGGGCTGACCGACCTCTCCTCCAGGCCCGGGGCTGTGCCTGCCGTCTCCCTGGGTGGGTGGAGGGCTGCCTGCCAAGATCTGGACAAAGGCTACTTTCTCCTGGGGCCCGGGGCCTTCCTGGGCAGGCCGCAGACACGCAGCGCCCTTCCTTGGTGACCGGGTGGCTTCAGGAGCGGGCAGGGGGCCTGGGGCCTCTGTCTACAGCCCCAGAACCTCCTCTGTGCCCCCTGCCCAGGGTTCCGAGAGAGGGGCTCCCAGGCTGCATCTGGGCTGGGCGGCCCCTCCGGCCTCTCTTCCTGCTCCCTCTCGTGTCACCTGACTAAGCTTGTTACCTTTGCCATTTCAGGGATGGGGACACTGGTGTCAGAGGGGTTGGGGTTTTTGGTCCGACGTCACACACTAATAAGCAGCAAGGCCTGTGCTTGAGCCATGTTGGAGTCTAAAACCTGGCTCCCGAGGAGTCTACCCTCTCCCCATCTCAGCTGGGCCTCCAGCAAACCCCCTGCTGGGGGAGAGAGGGGCACCTGGGCAGCCCAGACCCGCTTATCGGAGTCCCAGTGGACACGTGCTGCCAGCGCCGGTGTGCCTCAGGCCAGAGAGCCAGAGCCTGAGAGGAGGCCTGGCTCACTCACCATCCAGCCGAGACATTCCAAGCACCAGGCTGGCAGCCAAGGTGAGTCAGACGCCATCCTGCCCTGGGGGCCGCTGGGGAGAGTGATGCGCGATGCGGGCACAGGCAGGCCTCCTCTACCTGGAGCCTCATTTCTCTCAGGGGTTGAGTCTTGCAGACTCGGGGCAGGTAGAGGGGCTCTTGCTCATAGCTCCGTCTCAGCTCCCCCATCTGGCCATCTGGCCTGGCTCTACCAGGGCAGGGTGGGAGGGCCTGGGGATCACTGACTGCCTTTCTCCTCAGATCCCATTCCATGCCTTCTCCAAGCACTGCTAAGGCCCAGTGATGCTCATTAGTCTGTGAGTTCCACCATCCACTCACTACACCATCCTCTCTCTTTTCTCCCCTCCCTCCCTCCCTTCCATCCATTTATCCATTCACCCTCCATCCATCCACCTATCCTTCCATCTTTCCATTAGCCTATCTATCCATCTACCCAATCTCCCAGCCATCCACTCATCTATTTATCCATCCATTCACCTGCCCACACACATACCCACCCACCCACCCATCCATCAACCCATCCATCCACCTATCTATCTATCTTGCCACCTGCCTAGGTATCCATCCATCCAACTTCCTATCCATCCATCCATCCAAACATCCAATCATTTCTCCATCCACCCATCTGCCCGTCTGTCTGTCTATCCATCCATCCACTAACTATCCAACCAACCTCTCATCTCTCCACCCCCTCCCTCCTCCATGAATCTTTCTAGCCAGTCAGCTGAGCAGCCAGGTTTTCCTTCCTCCCTTCCCCACTTCCTTCCTATTCACCCACAGATCAGACACATCAGAGGTGACACTCTAATGACTGAACTGCTGGTATGGAACAGACACCCACCAATCTGAATGCAATACAGGTGTGTACCAGTAACTGTCGCTCTGTTTACCGACACCCCAGACCAGCGCACGAGCCCCAGCAAGCCACCTCGGATTCAGTAGGTCTTGGGGTCTACACAGCTCTCCTGAAGACACCCCTCCCTTGGTCTTCCCAGTGCCCATCCCTGGCTGCTGTTTCCAGCTGCCGACTGCAGGTCAGGGGTTATCTCAGTGGGGGTCAAGCCTGGGGAAAGTTTTGTTCATTGCGAAGGGAAATCCACTTCCCCAGTGGCTCCTCACTGCATTTAGAACGCAGTCCCGACTCACTGTCCTTGTCCACAGCCCTGCCCCCTCTGCCACCTCATTCCCCATCCACTCTCTCATCCACTCGGCCCAGCCACACTGGCCCCTTATGTTCCTCGAAAATGCTGAGCCCATCCTGCCGGGAGGCCCCTGCTCAGGAACTCCTCCAGGAATGCCCTCGCCCACATCTTCTCGAATTCCACACTCAGCTTGAATGCCACTTCCCAGAGGGTCGCAGTCCTCGTGTCTCGTGTCTCACGCTATGTGAATTCCCCACATAACGCTTGAGGTTCCTGGAGCTGTCTCTTTTGCCTTCCTCTCTTCTGTGTTAACTCTCTTCCCTCCACAGGATGCAAGTTTTAGGAGAGGGTGATGTGCGTGTCCCGTTCACTGCATCTTCCCAGCACTGGGAGCAGGGAGCAGGGACACAGGGCTGGGCACCCCAGAAGCTCCTGGGGGGATAGAGGCAAAAACCCAGGGCAAATGCCCCCAGGCTTCACTCCTCCTCATCTGCGGGTCACGGGAGGGTCCTCGGAGAGGTGGCCAGGGCCAGTTTCCACCGTAACCCTGGTGAGCTTCCCTCTCCAGGCCGCCTGCCACGCCAGGTATAGTAAAGATCAGAGAGCCCGGGGCAGAGGAGGATGGAGGCGCTGGCAGGAGGCGGGGGGACTCTGGCACCGAGAGGCTCTCCAGGCCCTTGGAGGCCGAGAGCTGGGAGGACCGTCCACCTGATGCTGGGCTGACAGCGCCCACGGTCCATGGCCCTCTTCCTCCCCATGACCACTGAAGGCTCGCAGGTCCTGGGTGTGCAGCCCCCACGGGAGCCCACTCATGAGGGGAGGGAGGGAGGGAGGGAGCACGGAGGGGGAGGATGAAGCGATGGGAGGGAGGGAGGTAAAGAGGAAAGGATGGATGAGGAAACAGACTCCCTGGTGAGCCAGCAGCAACCTGGGACAGTACCCACGGCGGGCAGCTCCCCTGCTCCGTCCTGCACTGCCTGCTGCAAAGACCCCGGGCCTGGGCTCCAGCCAGCCAAGAGCTGGGGGGGGGGTGCTCTCTGGGCCCAGCCCCGGGGTCCTGGGGCTCTGGGTTCTGCCTGCCTGAGCTGCCAAGGGCTGACATGTGCCTGCCCTCGTTGGCCTCCCTGACCTCCGGGTGCTGGTCTGTGCCCCCCATGCCAGTAACGCCCCCTCCCGCTACCCCTAGTCACTGGGCCGGCTGCTCATCTGCACATGGCTGGCTGTTGGCCAACAGGTGTCCAGGTCCTTTTCCTGCCAGCGTCAATGAGGCTGTTTCTACTTTCAGCTGTGGCTTCACCTGCTCCTTATTATCACAAAGTCCAAGCGTTCGAGGGGACGCTGTGGGGCCTGGAGGAAGGAGCCCAGGGCGCCCCCCCCACGTCGAGACTGTCCCCAGCACAGCATGTGTGTGGACACACCTGCATGTGAGGGGGCCATGACAGCTGGCGCGGGGGCCTGGGGCAATGCTGATCCGAAAGGTCCAGTGTTTCTCTACAAGCAAGGCCCCAGCCCAGAGACCCCCAGGCCCCTTAAGGCTCATACTGGAGGCCAGGAAGCAGGAGAAGGGGCAGTGGCTGGAGTGGCATCACTGGGTGTATGTGTCCCGGTACTGCCTGGCTCTGGTGACCCTCAGACAAAGGGGTTTGCAGGCCTAGAATGCAGCAGGAAAGCCACAGCGGCCCGCTCCTTGCACCCAAGGCCACACCAGCCTCCTAAGTCCGGGAGGGCATGGCAGCATTTTCCAGACTGGCCCACGGGGTTTAGGGCCATGCTCCTCCTTTGCCAGAGCCCCGGGTGTGAGCAGCTTCCGTTCCTGGAAGGCTCGGTGGCTCCCTCGGTCTCAGGAAGCTGTCTCTTCTGCCTCTGTGGCAGGCGGGGCTGGTTCTGCAGGGGACAGTGGCCCCATGGTTTGCTGTTGGAGCCCTCAGCTGGCCCAGCCAGCAAGCAGGGATCCCAGTGCTGGGGGACGCACGTGCCCCTGGGAACCAGGCCCCCAGGT